ACTTAGCCGGAGTATAAAACTCACTCCAAGGATGAAAAACCCCGAGGAAGAAGCAAGGCGGGATGGGAGGGGAGGAAGCGGAGTGCAGCTAAACACTGAAATTGCATTTGGCCGCTGTGTTATCTTTGCTTTAGTCTCCTGGGTTTTTCACACCTTTGGCTCATAAGAGCTACAGAAATCCCGCTCAAAAACACAAAACATGGAGGTGCTGTACATGGACCGCAGCTCATCAGAGGGGAGCTGTTAGATGCTATGTGGCCATTTGATTCAAATTCCAGGAAAAATCTTTGTTTAAACTATCATGAAGTCACATTCTGTAAGATGAGATGATAGACTGATTATTGACATCACGACCCATTGGACAGACATGACCGTTCTGTCATGCAGAAACAAACATCTAGCTGGCTGCCACAGCTGATCGACTAGGGGTGTAAGAAAATATCGATACACTGAAATATCGCGATATTTCATTTCCCGATACTGTATCGAYATTCTAAAGCCCTGTATCGATTTTTTTATTAAGGTTTAAAATGTCAACTTTTCTGCCAGCCATTCATTTTTATGTTGTAGTTCAGCCTATGACCACTAGTTGGCAGCAGTGAGCCAGCCACTTGGCTCCTCTACCTCTTGAGGTAGAAGCTATTGTTAAGTGTTGGGTGACTATATTGTAAATTAATATTAAAAACTTGCAAAAAATATATTTTCAAACTATTTATTGTCAAATTTAGTCTAAATAAGAAATATGAAACAAATAAAATAAAATACATACAAAGCAGAACACAGCTAAATGTATCAAAAGCATGTCTCTGTAATATTAGAATTTTCTGAGACAATGAATTTTGGTTTTTTTTCCCCTGTAAGAGGTTTTTATTTAATAGAATTTTTGGACAAAAAAAATCGCAATATATCGCCTTGCTTATAGTATCGCAATATATCGGGATATATCGTATCGTGACCCCTCTGTCATGATATGTATCGTATCGCCAAATTCTTGCCAATACACAGCCCTATGATCGACGTTACTCAACACAGAAACAGCTGCAACTCAGTCAGATTTACAGATACTGAGCTTACATTTCATGTGAAAGTAGCTGAAAATCATTCACAACACATACTCTGAGCGTGACATGTTTTGATGATTCATTGGGATTGCACACAAATGTTTTTTGAAGTTTGACCAAAACTGGGGTAACTTTGCCGTAAATCCATCGTAATTTGTTCGCTTAAACCTCAAAACTGTGCAAACGCAAATAAATGCACCACAGAGGCAACTGTGTGCGTTTAGAGTAGAGCCGTCCCACACAGACCGTACAACATGCCATCCTCTGACTCGGCTCCCTCTCTGCATCTGTTCCCACTGCGACTGCCAAGGGAATAAGGGCTCCAACATGGAGTGGCTTTGGAACGTCATTGCCGCGAGCGGGCTGTCATTTTTCCTGCTCATCTGAGCTCACAGTCACTCGGCACGTCCCTCGCTCGCTCTGCGTCCCCTCCCGCCAGCGAGGCTCTAGGTGCGTGTGAGTGATGACACATGGAGTCAAAATCAGCTGGTCACATCGGGAAAGGGTTTCTATTTTTTCCTTCACAATCATGACTGATAGAAAACATTGAGCGCCAAGCCAGGAAATAGCCCTGATTCTTCCAACATTATTGAATTTCCTGCCACTCAGAAATATATATAGATAAGGCAGAGGTCTGCAAAAGTGAGGCTCTCTAGGTTTTCCTTCTAGCTTCAAGTTAAAATATCTTTACTGGATTTTATTCATTTTCATAACAATCGCAAAGAAACTAGTTTTGTCTGTTTTCCTGTCAATTGTTTTTTACATATTTGACTGATATTAAAGTGCCTGTGACATTAATTTTTTTGTAATAAACATGAATGCATTTTTGGAAAGAGAACATTGATAAAATATTGCAAAACAAATTTCATGCCCCTGAGATGCACGGTTGTTGAGATATTTGCATGTGAAGAAACAGGAAGTGATGTCAAAGGGGAATGCCTGCATGTAAAAAGAGCATGTTATATATGACTGTGGAGAAGAATCTGATGTTTCTTTAGATTATTTTGAGCTACAATCAAACACAGATGATGAAGAGTTAAAGTTTAAATAATAATGTTTTAATAAACAAAAACCAGAGAGTTTATTTTATTAATGAGTTCCCCTTTGACATCACTTCCTGTTGCACTTTGGCTGAGCCAAATCCAAAAGAAAATAGGCCAGTTATGAGACAAAATGGGTAAAATCATGTGTATAATGCCAAGTTTCTTAAGTATAAAGATGTTTTTTGTGAGTTTTTGTATTTGAAGGATAGGCATATCACAGGCACTTTAATAACAGATTATTTCATGCCAGTAGTTTGTTAGCCTTTTAGCCATTTCATTTATCCAACTTCCAGCCATACATAATAATAATTCTCCCAAATTGACCAAAAAAACGTTTTTTTAATATCCATATGATGAGTTGCTGAAAAAAACCCAGAAAGTCCAGGTTTGCAAAAATTTCACAGAGCAAATAGGTTCTGCTAAATAGTGGCAAATTAATTTAATAACAATAAGAATTAGAAAAATCCCGTGACTGATGAAATTTGTTGAAGAAACTAAAACTGAGTTGACAAAGTCAAAACAAGCAGAGCAGACACTAAAACTGGTGAAACGGTTGCTGAAAGATAACATTTTCTAAACCAAAGCAAAATGTTTGATTGAGCAAACRCAAAAATAAAAGCTAAGACCAGCAAACCCATAACAGCAAGCTAAACTGAGCAAAATAGTAACTAAAACCTATAAAAAACAGTAGCTGAAAGCTAAAATTAGCAAAACCAGAGTTAGTTTACTTAAACCTAAAAGTTCACCTGAATAGCTGAATGTTTTGATACCGGAATTAAAATAAATAAATAGTTAGATGCCAAAAAACATACAAACTATTAACAGGAAAACAACTATTAGAAGTTAACTCTTACTGTACCTTGGATCAAAACATATTTATAGCTGTAAAATAGGTAAATTATAGTCTTTTATTTAAAATTTTCCAAAGAGTTACATTTAAGTATACAACAACATAGCCAAATATTTATAGTCATTTTAACTATATGCTTTAATATTTCAAAATTGGATAACTAATAAAATTTTCTACAAATAAATAATGATTTATTTTCTCAATATTTAAAAATATGCAAAAAACAGAAAAAAGTTCATTAAAGACTTTATTTTAGGATGAAATAAACATTTTTTATATGCAGTATTTATATAACACGTCCATGTTATCTTTATTTTAAGCTGACTGGGAAAAAAAACATACCCCAGCGACCTGGAAGAGGCCCGCAGGCCATCAATTGGTGATCACAGTTCTGGCAGGTTTCGCGGCTCTGGAAGTGTTTGATTTAGCAAGCGAAGGGGCARAAACAGCTGTTTGGATTGTAAAGGCTACAGAAACCTGGGATAAGGAACTGGTTGGAGGTGTTTTGTTGTATAAAACGCATGATAACAACCTGAACATATCACACAAAAAGCCCACATAAATCATGTTTTACAGTCTTACAAATCCACATACGTCCCTCTAATGTGTTATTTTTCTAGATTTTTCTTTCTTTTTCTGAACAGTCTCGTCTGTTTTACATAAAATCTGCTCGCTTTCTTAATACCACTGATTACTGAGAAACAGGAAGTGTGGCCAAGTCTGTGGGCTTTACAGAACAGTGTCATTCAAAAACGCAGCAGAAAAAAAAACTGCTTTGATTTCCTCTTTTACGTCACAAAAATGAAGAGACAATCTTCTCAACTCCTAACTTGACACGTGGGAAAAAGATTCACTGTAAAACAAAAAGTAACTGTAAAATTTACAGTAAATTACTGGCAGCAGGGTTGCCAGCCCGTTACTGTATAATCATGATGTAGTTTTTACAGTAATTTGTTACAGTGTTGTAAAAGGTTTTTAGCAACTGAAGGAGATCTACCTTGTTCTAAATAAAATAACTGTGCTTTTAAAGTCATTTTGTAATGTTCAAGTACTCGGTATTGGTACTCAGTGTCTAAGAGTGCCCAAACAGAAGTATTTAAACTTGGAGAAAACCTGGTATTGGTACACCCCTAGGGTCCCCAAAATGGTGGACAACAGTCCAAATCCAGACCCCAATAAAGCCTTCTCTGGTGATTAGTTTCAAATTGCAGGAGTCAGGTTTTTTTTTTTGTTTTGTTTTATTTTTCTTTTTTACATGTGCAGATTTTTGTGCAATTAGGACATTTTGTTTTCTAGCACTAACTTACGCATTTGTATCTTGCATGGAGAAGTCAGCCTGTAGAAGAGGTGCAAGAGTGTGAAACAGAGAAATTTAGGATGTTCTTATGTAATTTAAAAATCAAACCAAACTTTTAAGCAATATCACCTGCATAACTCTACAGTAAAGCAATGCTATTATTATTTTTATTATTTTAATCTATAATGCCAATACATAGATTGAATTCATGCTTTAAAATCTGTTTTTGTTTTAAATTAACTCTTTGCCGCACATGACCCTGTCATAGGTCATCTTTATAGCAGTCACCTCTCTGGCTCTCTGTTTGTCATTTTACATTTTTTATGAGCTCATCTGTGGGCTGGCTGTCGCCCCCGGTCCTCTTGTTGGGTAACCCAGCTCTGAACTGAGAGCACAGTAACGAAAAGATCAAAAAAGCTATTAAGACAGAGCTAACAAATCCCTGACAATTTGGGAGTAGAAGAGCAGCGTGTTTTATATAAACTCATACGTACTCTGCTGTAGTTGCAGCGTCAGAGTCAGTTTCTGTTTGCAGCGACATTCCTGCTGTCCCTGCTAAACCCCAGTTGGTGCCTGTGGCTCTGACGAGGTCTGAAATAAGTCGCACTGTGTGCATCGCTGGCTCCACAGTTCACCCAACCACACCAATCCACAAAACGGAGGCCTAAAAAAGGATCAAATAAAATATTCTGTCGAGTCACGCTTTCTCTGTCCTTTGTCTTTCCTTCCTTCCTTCCGTCCGTCCTCAGGCTCTGGTGGGAGAAAAATATGGAAGCATCCGAGTTCCAGGGGAGGTGGAGTCAGCGGAGTTTGAGATGATCTTGGATGCAGCTGTGGAGGCGGGGCTGGACACACACATCTTGGAGGAGTGGTACTGCAGGGATGAAAACTCCGTGCCACCCGCTTACTACCTCAAACCCAAAGCCCAAATGCTCAAGAACTACCAGAACTCTGTGAGTCTATGTTACATGTGACATGATTGTTACGCAGAGATGACTCTGAATATGGTTATTAAGAAATAACATTATAGTTAGAGGATTATTTTTATTCAGAGATGAACCAATTGCAGTTTTCCAGGCCAGTATTGACTTCAGATTTTTGTGAGGTTTTAACCCACTGATTCCAATTTTTGAAAGCACTCTCCACCGCTTGATCTCCTCCCTCAGAATGACTCTCGAACTTAATTTTAATTAATTTTATCTCTATTTAGGGACTTGATGTTCATGAACGATACGACTCTTTTTAACGACTCTGTACAACGAATGATAGGAGCTGAGTTATGCCGATTTTGTTTTTTTGCTCCTCGGGGTTTTGCTTGACAAAAGACATGGTACCACCCAYGTGACRGAATTACGTCATGACTTACGGCGTACATGAGGACGTATCTCCCTATTTGATGATGTAACTCATTTAAAATCGGACCACTCGATGAAACAAACAGGTTCTCAAGATCCAGAACCCTTCAAAGAGCCATTGGTCCCATCTCTGATGCTGTGTCTTTTATAAAGACAAAACTTTAACTTTTCTTTTTCCACCTGGTGTCTCTGATTTCATTGTTTTCTCTCTGACTCTGTTTACCTCAGGGGATTATTTTACCATCGCACTCCAAGAATGTCCAAAGTATACTCGCCTGTAAATGGGCTGTAATTGTTTCCAACGAATCAGGATTCTGTTGTTTTTGCCCATTTTTTTACAACCTATGTGCTACACTTTTAGTAGTGAATGATGTTTATTTAGTATTACCATAGATGATACATACATACAAAAAAACAGCTATTCTGGCCTCACATAAAGTCTGTGTTGCAACAAAACATCACAATAAAAAAGGTTTGGTTGTTGGATTTGGTACAAAATGTCTATTGTATGTATAAAATCCATGTTCGACAGACAAAAGGTTGGAAATACCCACCATTTCATTGTTTATGTTCAACACCTACAAAACTAAAATAAGGAACCAGTAAATGAGAACATTTTAGGCTTTTTAAGTACGCTGATGGTGGATTAGTGTCCTCGTGCTCTGTTGTGGAAGGCTTTAGCTGCGCTTGATAAACATATTTCATATTCATGTACAGAAAAGCAGCTTTGCATTGAGTTTAGGAGCACAGTTGTTTTGGCTCAGTCGACCCCTTTTGATGTATTACGCTTTAATGTGTGTCCAAGTTTTAGTACAGCTAGGTCTTTTGAAAAAAAAAACTTCTAACAGTTCTATAAAGGAGGTTAATCTTGGAGAAAATGGTTGCTTTCAAGTTCCCTGGCTGTTTTTTTTTAAGATTCATGAAATGTTGCCTTGAAATTCATGAACAACATTTTATGATAGAGCAGCTAACCATGTTGAAAAAAACGGGGTCATAACTGTGTTCCCCAGCTCCCTATGTTCCCTGGTCCACCCATCACACATTCCCCAGATCCCTATGTTCCCCTGGTCCACCCATCACTTTGTTCCCTAGATCCCTATGTTCCCCTGGTCCACCCATCACTTGGTTCGCTAGATCCCTATGTTCCCCTGGTCCACCCATCAATTTGTTTCCCAGATCACTATGTTCCCTGGTCCACCCATCAATTTGTTCCCTAGATCCCTATGTTCCCCTGGTCCACACATCACTTTGTTCCCCAGATCACTATGTTCCCCTGGTCCACCCATCAATTTGTTCCATTGATCCCTAAGTTCCCCTGGTCCACCGATCACTTTGGTCCCCAGATCTCTATGTTCCCCCTGGTCCACCTATTCCTTTGTTCCCTAGATCCTTACGTTCCCCAGGTGCACCCATCACTTTGTTCCCCAGAATCTCTATGTTCCCCCTGATCCACCCATCACTATGTTCCTCAGTACCTATTTTCTCCAGTACAATACTGCACTGTAATTTAGTTTTTTTATTAGTTTTAAAAACAATTGAAGGGCGAACCAAGCAGCATTCCTG